CAGACAAGAAGCACCGAAGTATTTCTTCCTCTACCACAGCCAGCCTAGCACAGGGGAATCAAGCAGAGAAAAAACTTAAAACAAAAACAAAACAAAACAAAAAACCCACACAAGGTACCAAGTCACACAGATTGTCCAGGAGTATCCTTAGACTTAAAAGAGGCAAATGAGGAAGCACGAAAACCACAACAAAGATATCCAAAGCTTCTTAACAAGCACTCACTCAAATCAGAACACACGAAGGCCAACATTTTAGTGTTTATCCACTCAGAATGCACCAATGCCAACATTTTAGAGTTAATCCAAGACTAAAGACATGCTCACTATAGTTTGTGTCATTCACCACACAGTTTTTATTTGATTTGTTGGGAAAGAAAATCAGCTTTTGAGACATGACAGAGTTCTTGGCGCATTCCACGTCATTTCCTTTCAATGTGAAGCAGACAGCGAAGTCATCTCTTCAAGCTCCTCCATCTTTACCCCGTTCCACATGTGAAGAGTCCCAGCACGGTCACAGCAGTGGGAACTCGGCCTGCGATGAGGGAGTAGAGAGCTGGCATTGGAGCGGATGGAATGTTTTCCTTAAAGCACATGAGGTCCTGGGCATGGTCCTCAGTGGGGGAGGTGGGGGAAAAGAAAGGGGAGGAGAAAATACCTTCTAAATTCACAAAGTAGGACACAACGGAGCTGACATGTGGTAGCAAGTCCAACAGTCTGGTGCTGTATAGATCTGAGCTCTCTACCTTTCCATCACTGATCAGATTCCTTTAGGACTGAATGGGGAGGGCCAGCTCTACCTGTGGACCTGTGGGAGTGGGAAGTCGCAGAGGTCATCCCAAGTTCCGGGGACAATGACTTAAGAGCGTCCTAATTTTCTCTGGTGGGGCATCCTCTATTCAAATGCCAACACCTTGGTCTGAAATCACTTCAGGGGTCACACTTAGTTTAGGGCCCCCATCTCAACAAATTCCAACTCTGTAGAAAACAGCCTGACTCAGTCCAGCGCCTCAGAAACCGGCAGAGATAAAACAAATCAGGCCTTGTTTTTTTTTTTTTTGTTTTGTTTTGTTTTGGTTTGGTTTGGTTTTTTGTTTTCTTTGACACAAACAAGTTTTTTTACGATTTCATTATCTAAAATCCCAAACACCAGGTGTCTATAAATATTTATTGGAAGAGATCATGCAGTACGCAGCCAGACTGAGAGAGGGAGAAGTGTGCCTTTGGTTTCACTTCTAGACGCTCTGTATTCTAGACGCTCTGTTCCCCTGGGAAGGCTTTCAAGCCTTCTCTACCAGGGCTTTTGATACAGAGAAACACCTGCCTCCAATCTTCCCCAGACCACAGATCTGATATTGCTGAGCTTCTAGGGAGGGGACAGGTAAAAGACACAGTAACTGATAGAAAAAAAAATCCAGCTGCTGGAGCCATTCCTAGTCCTAACTGAGCGGCTAAGCCTCCTCCTAGAACAATGGATTCTCCCACCGGGTTGAAGTTTCTTAGGCAGCATGCAGAGTGGAAGCAGAGTTGTGAAAGGGACTATACTCTGCTTAGTGGGATCAGGCTTAGTTCATGGCTGAATCTGCAGCTAAACGCTAGAATGTGAGTTGTGTATCACCCTTCCCTCAAGAGGAATTTCTCACTGAAATCATAAAAAGCATGTTTTTTGAAAATTGCAAATTTTAAAACCCAGTTTTACTATCCTTACAACACAGCAACTTATGTTTGCATTTTTTCTTATATACTGTGTATATATTTTATAGAATTTAATAAATCTAAATTATTTCATGGTCCTTTATTAGTCATTATGTCAATAATATCTATGTCTCTCTTCTATAATCACAATCATTAAAAATAGTCTGCCATGTGTTTCAACTAGGTTTTCTCCAGTCGTTACAACTCAGTTAATTTTAGTATAATTGCTTCAGATAATATCAAAATACACACTTTTCACATTCAGTTTTCCTCTTCTTTTGAATAATTTTATTTAGGATAAACAGGCTACCAACATTTAAGTGCAGAAAGGTCTTGCTAAACTCTGCTTACTATTGAAAACAGTTTATCTCCAGATACATGAAGAAACTGTCTTCATCTGGTTTTAGTTTTCAAGTCTTTATTTATAAGTTGAGTGGATGTTCACTATCATATCCATACTATATGCATAGGATTTCAGGGTGTCCAAGCCCCCATTGTTTGTTTGGCCCCAGAAGTTTAAGCAGCTATACATCACTGCAGGAGAACCTGTAACTAAAGGCAACACCAGGAAAGCTCCATACTAGACGGCAAAGCCCAGGGGATGACACTGTAGACAGATGCTGAATCAGGAGAGTGGGGAAGTGTCGAGAACACAGAGTAGCTTGCATGTTTAGATCAAACTAAAATGCTCCACTATCGGCCAATGATAGCTCAGATGTGAGGATGGAGATTTGTGTTCAGATCTGCCTCCTTGTTCAAGGCCAGGCAACTGACCAGCAGCACAGTTCAGATGCATACCAAGGTCCTGTGAGTCTTGGCTCTGCTTTAGACTTGTGTGTGAGGGGTGGGGGTGGGAGCATACACGCAATGTGTGCATGCCCAGGTGACTACTGGAAGTGGGTGTCTGATGTCTTTCTGGATTGTTCTCCCATTTATTTAGTTTATTAACTGAAGCTGGGGCTCATGTTGAGTCTAGAACTCCTTGCTTCTGGCTAGTCCATCTGATATAGTAAAGGTGTTAGTAAACAATAAGAAAATTATCAGGACTCCCAAGAGGCTTTACTCTAAAACCCTATGTTACTGTTGTTAGACCATTTGAGATCTAAAAAACTGGCTATGATGTTGAGTGCCTTCAGGAAGTTACGGCCTCATATACAGTGTGACATCAAACTAGCCAACACAACTGACCCCTTGTCAATTTGACACATAAACACATCACCACTAAACCATAACCTTTTCTTTCTTGTTCGTCCCCAAGAGGGGATGTTAATATGAGTGCCACAATATAAAATACCCCAATGTTGAAAGTCCTGCCATCTTTAACATGTCAAACACTTTAAAAGCTTAAGTCTCTTTAAAAAATGCCAAAAGTCTTTTTCAAAGTTCCTTGAAAATATTCAGAGTCTCTCTCAGCTATCCAAAGTCTCTCTAAAATTCATTATCTGTGAAATTCTGAAGACTGTCTAAAACCCCAAAGTCTTTTAATTGTGGGCTCTTGTAAAATCTAAAATAAGTTACATGCTTTCCTACTCCCAGAGGGAAGAATGGAGGACACAGTCACGATCCAATCAAAGCAAAACCAAAATCTAACAGTGTGAAGCTCAGTGTCAGACTTCAGGGGCTCACTCGTGATCCTCTGGGTTCCCAAGGGTTTGTGTGGCCACCCACGGAGCACACAGCTTGCCTCCGAGGCTCAGACTGGCTCCACTTGGAAGCTTCTGCTTTCCTTAGCAGTCATCCCATGGCACAGACACCTCCAAAATTTTGGAGTCTCCTTTGTAACTGCACTGCACCTACCAATAGCCTTTCCTGGACTCTCTTTTGATACTCTGACTCTGCGGCATGGTGCCAAACCTCAACTTCTCTCCATGACCTCTTTCAATCCTGGGCTTCTACTTCAACTGAGGCTTCGTGTTGAGCAGTGTCCTGGCCTGGCCTGTCATGGTGGGAAACCTCAGCTGCGCCCCATGAATTTGAACCATGGTGGGTCCTACAGAAGAAAGCTAGCTTGGTGAAAGTTGGGATAGAGGGGAAAAAAGAACACATTCTTGAATACGTAGAAAGACCTGTTGCAGAAGGAGCTCACAGGGTCCTAACATTGGTTCATCTGAAATAGTAAAGGTGTTGGTAAGCAATATGAAAATTACCAGGGCTCCCAGGAGGCTTTACTCTGAAATCACGTGTGGCCAGCGGTAGCAGTCTCAAGGGGTAAAATGGGCTAGGAGACGAAAATGAGACTTGGAATTCTTCTGAAAACAGTGAAGGAATACTTGTGTGTCAGCCCATCTTTTTCAAGTTTGTATCACTCTTTGTGGAACCTGGTGATAGCCAGTATGCCTCTCTAGGGGGTGTGGTGGGGGTGAGAGAAATACTGAACCCACTTTGTGTCTTGACAAAATGGTGGGGTAGATAAGTACTTGGTACGTGAGAATTCGGAATTGGAAATTCTCTTTTTTCTAGTTAGATGGGTCCTTTCTTTGAATTCCAAAATATATTTACAACGAATGACATTTAACAGCCAGTTAGTAGAATTGAAGGAATGCCTGTCACATATGCCCTGCCATGGGCCATTCATTCTTTAAGTCCGTGCTACAATATTTTGCAAAATGATTTCGGTAAGGCATTGTGACTGTACCGTTCACAAGCAGGTCCTACCATTATCTGTTTTGTGGGTCTTTCTGGTCTTCTCCAGTCATGTCCATCTTAATGCTTTAAGGTAGAAATGCCCAAAAGAAATGTAGCCAAGTCACATTTGTATTATGCGAGATTAACATACTTAACATAGCTTAAATATGACATTTTTAACAAATTAAATCTTCCAAATGTGGCGTGCACGCTGGCAACCCATGTCTCTTCAGATCTGAAGGCACAGCCCCCTTCACAAGCACCATCTTGGTGGGGCCAACGTAAAGGAAGGCATCCTATGGAGACCACTGTCCTCCTGGCTCTCTCCCTCTAGTCCAGTAGGGCTTGGCCAACCGGACTCGGTGGGTGGTCGGCTGTGGGCGGGGCCCCGGGATCAGCGCACCCCAGGGCTGCGGCGACCGGAGCTCGGGTCCAGCTGTCCCTTCCACCCGTGCCCACCCCCGCCCGCACCACGGAGCCCCGGAAGCGGCGGGATTTCCTGTGCCCGCCCCGCGCTGGCCGCGGTCGCCTGTCGCTGGCTGTGCGGGCCGCGGGCTCGGCCGTGCCGGCCGGGAGGCAGCACCAAGGGGCCGATCCGGGGTGAGTGTGGCCGGGGAGCCAGCGGGCGAAGGGGGTTGGGGGAAGCCGGCCTGGCCTTGGGGAGAGTGGCCTCGATGCTGGGCGTCCGGTCCCGCTGCTGTCACTTGAGCAGACGCCCGCAGCACCCTTTCTCTCACTTGCTGTAGCCCCGGCTCGCGGGAACCTGTTTTCTGGCCCCGCTTGCCCGCTCCGGTTCTGTCGGGCTCCGAGTCTTCTGAAATCTGACCCTCCCTGGGGTGCTCTGACCCGCAGAGAAGAAACCTTACTCTCTGAGGGCTCGGGGCCCCGGCCATGCCACACCCGCGGCAGGGCCACTGGACCCACTCTCGTCCCTGCGCCCTTGGGCACTCTTTGATACCACAGATATCTCTGTTCAACAGAACTCGCTGCAAAAAGGAAAAAACTTCTTCCTGCAGGTGCCCTGCCTCCCAGACACACAAGCAAACGACGACGACTGAAAGGAAAGCCCAAGAACCTAGGCTGCAGAACTAGGGGAAAGGAAGGAAAAAACAGGTTAAGGCTGCAGCTCAGGTGCTGGCCCTGCCACGACCACCTTAGGGAATGCAGGCAGGCGACAGGTATCCACACCTTTGCTCGGGTTTTGCCAGCATTTTCAAAGGGTTTTCTGTCTTCGTCTAGCAGGCTCAGTGGGCTCTTTAGAAAGGCTTCCCTGAAGGTGGAGGACTTTTCTGCCCAGGACATAATAGAAAACTGGGTTTGAGAGAGATGTCCAGGTACTATGCAGGACTTGAAACCTGCTGGAGTTCTTGCCTAGGCAGCCGGAGAACAAGGGAGGCTTAAGGGCAGTTGGTGTCCTGTACGTTTAAAAGTGAAAAGAACGTAGGGCCTGAAATTCAGAGGCAGCTAAAATTGAAATTTCTCCTCATCACTGCTTTACTTTGTCTCTGAAAAGGAATCCATCTAAACTGGGTATCAGTCCAGGAAGCATCCACGAGGCCCCAAAGCCATCTTTAGACTTCAAAGATGAAAGAGGAATTTGTTCTTCCTGTACATTGTGCTTAGACATCGTTTGTCAAAGAAAAATAGGCAAGAAAGTAATTGGCCTGAGGTCTGTTGTAGCTTTTCCCAGCCTCCTGGGTTATTGAATTATCACGTGAGCCAAATAGCTACCAAAATCCTGACCCCTTCCTGGGGGATTTTTGGTGACTCTGTCTACTTGGATATTGAATAAGAATCGCAAAAATAGATTGCCAAGCAGAAAGTTGTCCTACAGTCATTCTCAAATGGTATCTGCCTCATGTCTAAAAATGTTCAAAGAAAAGTACAAACTTGGTCATATGCTCTGTATGACTGTTTGAAAAAAAATGACCTAAATCTCTTTCTTGTGACCAAACCCCATTTCTTCTGTTTAATACATAGAGATGTTTACAGGTGGTGTAACTGATTGGCCTTGTGTTGCTTGACAAGCAAAAGCTGTGTCCATTGTTTTTAGCTTTTCCAGTGGCTGTGTTTCCTATCCTTCTCTTGACTTGAATTTCTTCCAATGAACCCATGCCGGCTTCTCCGAACCATTCTTGAAGTTGGGTACAATGGTTTTTTTTTTAAATAATACACTATGGTGGGTACTTGTGTGGCTTAGTATTTCAGCTGTTGATCCCCCAAAGGCTGTGTTGCCAAAACACTGCTCCCCTGGTTTCCATGTCTCATCCAAGCTCTGTTCTTTTCCACCTTCTCCAGTTAAACATCTGCTCTTCACTGACCTGCACTTTGAAGTCTCAGGCTGTGTTGGGTTCTTAAACATCACCTTTTTGGCTCTCCACATTGCTGGCCTTTCTGCTATGTTGATATCAGTTCCCAATTTCCTACCTAAGAGTAACAGAGCATATGTCCCTTTGCTCAGGATTTTCTTGCGGGGGATGATATCTGGTTCAACCTGAAAGAGAGAACAGGTGCTCATGGCAGGTCACAGCCCCTGGGGGGACCTCTAAATCAGTTGATGAGATAGTAGTTTGTGGAGCAGGCTCTCTATGTAAGAAGGTATCCATCTTTGCTCAGTGCATTCCTTCCTGTGTTTCCCCTACATCCACGGTACTTTGAATGATAGAAATACAACAGATAGCCTCTGGGTTTTCAGGATTGTTCTTATTTTATTTTTAAGTGAAGTTATTCCAGTCCTCAGGGATGTTCTATTTATAGCACGAGGTCTCCAAAATGACATGCCTTGGCTGTGTAGCCCCAGTCAGTTCATTCCTTGGTTCGCTCACACCATGCTCTGTGTCTTGGGTCGGGCCTCCTCTTACGGTTTCATCCTTAGCCTTGGGAACTGGTCTTGGAGATGACCTTTGCCATGCCACCCCTTCAGTAGCTGCTGTTGATGTGTTCCAGGTCACAGTCTCTGCTTGCTGCAGATATGCTTTCCAAACAGACTGCAACCCTGGAAGCGGCATGGGGGCCAAGGAATGTGCAGCTGGATGGAGCAGAGTCCCAGATGGAAAGAGGAAACCAGGGAGAGGGCCCATGGGGAACAGCACCAGGGCCGCTGGATCGCCTTCACTGTGACCCTGAAGAGCCACTCTCCCTTCAGGAGAAGGGTGAGAACCTATGGGCATTTTGCAATCACTAGAAGTCTCCTAGTCTCAAAAGGTGTCATTAAAAACTCCTAGTCTGCCTGGGTCCGGTTGCTCACACTTGTAATCTCATTACTTGGGGGCTAAAGTAGGAGGGTTGCCATGAGTTCTGGGCCAGCCTGAGGTATATAGCATGGCCCTGTCTCCAGCAACAATAGTAACTGTAATGACCCTGGGCTGAAGAACATGCCCAATACCAGGTCCATTCTGTTTATCCTGAGCCCTGCTGTCTAGTGCACAGGGAGGTCCTGAATTTTCCAAACTGTGTAAATGGCCTTCTGTCTCTCAATAGTCATTCCTCCTATATGCAAGTGCATAATTAATGGTATTAGATGTGGGAGGCACGGGAAATGAGACTCACTACTATTGTAGGACAAGGCCAACAACGTGCACTTTACTTGGTAAGATTCAGGCAGCATCCATTCAAACTACAAATTATTCTAATTAAATAAATGTCACAAAATCCTTACAGAACATGTTGAGTGAAAGCCTGTACATCTATGTGTATGCATTTGAGTTTTTACCAGTGAGATTGAGAAGATAAGTGGGTCCCAGCGCATACTGGGAAAGATGGGTAGTTCATCTCTAATGGTTCCTCTCTCCCCTCATCAGCTCAGTCTGCTCCCTGGGTTCCTGCAGTTCCCCAGGAGGGGAACACTGGAGACTGGGAAATGGCAGCTGCACTTCTTGCAGCCGGATCCCAGGTGAGCTCCGCTCCCCTTGTCTTCTCCCAAGGTCGGTGCAGTTTGACTTCTATAGCTTTGGCACCATCCCATTGGCTTCTTAGTTCCCATGAACACTAATGATATGCTTATAGCTGAATAGCATCTATTTCTAAGGGATGTATAATGGCTTTCCTAATGGAGGGCTATGTTATCTCTGGCATGGGGGTGAGGAGTTCAGAATAACTAATTGACTTCTTTTGAGAAGAAAATCTGAAATCAGGCATGATGGTGCCCACCTGTAATTCCAGTTACTAGGGAGGCTGAGGCACAAGTGTTGCCTGAGCCCAGGAATTTTGGGCCAATCTGTGTGGCATGGTGAGAGCTTATCTCAAAAAATAAAATAGAAGAAAGAAAAGAATTCTGGAAAATGAAAAAAAGAGGGTCTAAGGAAAGCTTGGAAGAGTGTATGCAGACAGGGTAGTGTAGACAGTGGGAAGAGAAGAGAAGAAAGAAGTATGCAGAGCCAGAGAAAGAGAGCATATCTGGAGAATGGCCTTGGAAGGACAGCAGCATTGTCTGTAGTGACAGTTACAGAACGCTACCTTGCGTACTCTTTTCTATACACTTTATATATGCTAGGTAAGTTGAGATACATTCCATTCTGTTTGAGAACATTGGGGCAAAGAGAGGTGGAGGGGTTTGGATAATACCGATAATAAGCAGTAGAGCTAACAGTCCTTGGGCTCCAGATTTTGGGCTCAACCACTGTACCGTAGCACCTGAAGAGATATCATCAGCATACCAGGAAAGCAAGTATGTTCTGTTCATGTCATGTTGTGTTGACAGAAAAGGCAAGGTCAAGTGGAGGAAGGAGGCTGTGGTACAGTCTGCGAGAAAGGATGAGGAGGTAAGAGGAGACTGACTAGACGCCGATAGTTAAGAGGAAGTGATGTGTCTGTCACGCCTCTGACTTCTCACAGTCTCATGCGGGAACTTCCTCTAGTGACATTATCCTCGCTCACTCCTTGGCCTCGTTTCTTTACTCCTTTTCTCTTTCCCAAAGCTATGGGCTTCACCTAGTGACCTGTTGGCAGTTCTTTTCCTGGGTCCTCTCTCACCCTCCTTCCTGGCCTATCTCAGCCCTTCATAGTGAGATCTTATTTTCCACCAAAGCAGCTGCTGACAGACGACCCTCTGTCTTGTTTCAGGGCCTGGTAACCATCAAGGATGTGTCCCTGTGCTTCTCTCAGGAGGAGTGGCGGAGCCTGGATCCCTCTCAGACAGACTTTTATGGAGAATATGTCATGCAGGAAAACTGTGGGATTGTTGTCTCTCTGAGTAAGCAGGGCCTTCCTCTTCCTAAAAGGCTGTCCCCTGGGAGGAAGGGACCCCCCCCCCTGCCTCGGGGCTGTTGAATAGTGGGCTCTCTGTCTAGGAAGGCTTCCACCAAAGTAAAAATACTGGAGCTAAGCCCAAAGAGTTGAAGCAAAGAATCTTTTTGTACATAATGCTAAATTATGGAGTGAAAATTTGAAACTCATCTCGGATGGGAACTTGAGGTTTCTTAGAGAGCAGAGAACTAGATCCCTGGGACCTGGAGCGTCACCCTGGAAAGGCCAGGGCACTGCAGGTGGGACTTACCACAGTGACTCTAAAGGAAAGTCATGACCAGAAAGGACACAGCCTGGGAGGGTTTGAGTTGCAGAGAACTGGTTCATCGGGGGAAAGTGCGTGCTTTTCAAGAAAAGGAAGAGGGACTTAACAGAAGTGACAGGATGCTTGTGTCTGACTTTTTGGTCCTGGCATCCTGAGGAGGAATCTAGTGGGAGTGGGTTTGTCCACTGATAAAGAGTTGCTGTTGAGCTAAGCTGGCCTGCATCTGTTTCCTTTCCTCATGGGCAGGGTTTCCAATCCCCAAACTGGACATGCTTTCTCAGCCAGGAGGAGAGGAACAGTGGGTCCCTGACCACCAGAACTTAGAAGGGAGAGACACCCTGAAGGTCATGTATACAGGTGAGGACCTAGACACACTCTCTTGCAATGTCATCTTTACAGTGTCTCTAACCAAAAAGTTCAGAGTTCTTTTTTTCCCCAAAAGCAAGGGTGGGGTGCAGAAAGTGTGGAAGGCAGACTCTGAACTCAGGCAGTGTGGGCTTGAATTGTAGAACATACCTATGAGACCTCTTTTCTACGTTATTGCAGTTGAATATGTTAGCGCCTGAGAGTCGAAGAGTGACAAAACACATACTAGGCACCCGATAAGAGTTGTTATTGACGCTGTTGGACGGACATTATAGAGGTGTCTTCTAAATGCATCTAATGATGCTGATAGCTGCTCACTTAGCCAGTGATGCTGCAGCTCGTTCCTTCACTCTCGTTCTGTGTGGAGGTGTGAAGATGGTGGCTGGTGGTGATGAACAGCAGAAAATAAATAATGTTGGCAGGTAAATAATAGTGATAGCAGGTATCACTGAGTGTGTGCCAAGTGCATATTAGAACGATTCTAGTTTTATTGAGAAAGGTGGGGGGAGGGAGAGAGTAAGGAGAGAGAGAGACAGAGAGAGAGAGAGATAGAGACAGAGAGAGATAGAGACAGAGACAGAGAGACAGAGAGAGATAGAGAGAGACAGAGAGACAGAGAGAGAGATAGAGAGATAGAGACAGAGACAGAAACAGAGAGACAGAGAGAGACAGAGAGACAGAGATACACACACACACACACAGAGGGGGGGAGGGAGAGAATTGTTCCTGTTTTATGGAAGAAATGGAGACTTAGAAAGGTAAGGATGAAAACTTGGTTCACTTGTCCATCAAGCCTAGGCTTTTGAACATCCCTGCAGCTATTGCACTGTGTTGTGATTTCACGCACGATCCCCCTTTGGACTAGTGCCTGGCACCATACAACGTTCCCTGGGACTTGGGTTCTGGGATACTATCTCAGGACTCTCCTTTTAAATGCTATATTCTTTTTAAAACCACACACTTTTTAGATTTATTTATTTAGTATACAGCATCTGTCTGTATGCCCATGGGCCAGAAGAGGGCGCTAGATCTCATTACAGATGGTTGTGAGTCACCATGTGGTTGCTGGGAATTGAACTCAGGTCCTCTGGAAGAACAGCCAATGCTCTTGACCTCTGAGCCATCTCTCCAGCCCCATAAAAGCTGTATTTTTCCTTTCCCATAGGAAATGGAAGTGAGCATGAGGGTGAGACCCCCGAGCTAGAGGCAGAACCTCCCAGAATGTTATCCAGTGTGTCTGAAGATACTGTTCCCTGGAATCCAGGGCAGGATCAGAGCTGGGAGTCCATGCCCAGGGGCTCCAGAGGAATGCTCCTAAGCACACCCTTTCTTCAGGAAGACAGCTTCTCAAGCCTTCTATGTAACACCGAGATGGATTCTCTCTTAAAACCCCATACGTGCCCTCAGTGCGGGAAACAGTTTGTGTGGGGCTCCCACCTCGCCAGGCATCAGCAAACACACACCGGGGAGAGGCCCTACAGTTGCCTCAAGTGTGAGAAAAGCTTTGGGAGAAGGCACCACCTGATCAGGCACCAGAAAACCCATCTGCATGATAAGCCAAACAGGTGTTCCGAGTGTGGCAAGAATTTTCGATGCAACTCCCATCTGGCCAGCCACCAGCGAGTGCACGTGGAAAGCAAGTCCTCCAAGTGCCAAGAGACGGGAGAGAGTCCTGGGGCTCAGAAACAGCAGCATGCCCCACCTGTGCCAAAGAGCCACGTGTGCACTGAATGTGGGAAGAGCTTTGGCCGCAGGCACCACCTCGTGAGACACTGGCTGACCCATACCGGGGAGAAGCCCTTCCATTGCCCTCGCTGCGAGAAGAGCTTTGGCCGCAAGCACCACCTGGACAGGCACCTGCTGACCCACCAGGGACAGAGTCCCGGGAGCAGCTGGGACAGAGGGACATCTGTCTTTTGAAATCTGTCTCTTCCGTAGCTATGATCAACTCTCTCAACCGGTGCTACCAGCAGCCACTGCCAGAATCGCCCTCTCCTATACCCTGATGGCCAGAGCATTTCTCACCGGTTCATATGAAAACGGAGTTGTTTAGGCAAAATTTTGGGAAACAGTGCACAGTATGTGTATGATTATTCAACTTGAACCCACTGTCAAGGGTACAGTGAAATCAGGAGTGATGGATGAGGTCCATTCTCAGTGGTTGGAGTCTACATTGTATCACCCTTGTGTGCTAATATATTCCCTCTCTCCAGAGAGGGAAAGTGAAAGGGGCCATGTCCGTATATTAAGGGCTCTGAGAACTGCTATAGTCAACTGCTTAGTGTCTATTAATGCAGTGTTTCCTAAATTGATTTGACTTCGGTATCTATTTCATATCCCCACAGAACTAGTGACTCTGGGAAACATACTTGTATGAGCACTGGGTTAAAAGGCAACACGGAGACAAGAAAAAGACAGTGACCAGGCACTCAGAGTCGTTTTTTATCTGTGGAAGCAAGGGGGCCAGACATTGTTGTGTGGGTCTGCCATCCTTCCCCATTCATTACGTGCCTCTCACCTCTACCTCTGAAAATAGTGACATTTCACTCCCTATTCCTATACCCCTCATTCTACACACACACACACACACACACACACACACACACACACACACACACACACACGGCTGAGAGATCAGGTTACAAAGTTAAAGGATGGACCTTACACCCCAAGTAATCCAGGCCCACACTGAAGAAACAACTGAACCCTTGAACAGAGCCTTCTCTTTGTGTGTTTTGGTGTCTGTGTGTATATGTGTGCGGGATCTTTTGAAGAGAGCATGCTCAGTGCAAACTGTACAAGCTAGGTTTTCTAGGAATCGTGTTTTAGGGATAAGACTAGTTGGGATGGTATGAGTCTTTGCTTTTGTTTAAAGGTATTCTGAGTGGTAAAGGGAGTCGTGGTGGAATGGAGCAATGATGGCTTAAGTTGTGTACAAAGTTTTCCCCAGTATTCCCAGGAAGTAGACAGTTGTGGATTTGTGTGTCTAGGTCTGAATCTCTGTGATGAAAACTATTTTTCCCACAGAGATGGAAAGAGACACAGTGTCTTCTGTTGATGTCACAAGGTGATGGCGGTTCGTGCTGAGTGCCGTTTTGTCTTGTTTTAAGTGATTCTAGAAAATCAGGACAGGAACCGCAGCACTGGAAGTTACTCCCACCACTCTTGTTTGACTTTCATAGCTTCATTAAAGGGAAGAACTGTGGTTGAGCATCTCATTCTCCCAGGAAAAGGAACGTTAGGGGGAAAGGCAGTGGCTTAGCTTGACAGCTGATGAAGGCGATGGGCTTCCTAAGAGTGTCCTCCCGTTCCACCGAGACCCTTGAATCTAAGGTCAGCTGCCTGCACTCGGGCTCCTGCAGATGTCCTCGGGTCTGCTGGTTCGTAAAGTTGGCCACCATTTTCTTTTTGGTGGTTGTATTCATCTTACAGTCTTACCAATCTTACAACGTGAAACTTAACTTCTATATAAGAGAAGTTTGGAATCAAGGAGAAAAAAGAGAAAAGAACATAAAAGTGGATATTTTCTCTTCACGGCTTACATGCTGTTTTTATTTTTGTTTTGTTTTGTTTTTGCCCCCGAGGTACTCGTTTCTGGAACACAGTTGGAATTAGCCAGAGAAGCAGGAGGAAGTGCTTTGCAGCAATCTAGTTAATGAGGGTTCTGCTCAGGGAGAACTGGGTGAATCAGAGCTCTTGGGCTCTGGGCTCAAGAGGAACTGAAAGAGTCATTTTGCTGACTGGGCATTTTATTTACTTGAACATCCCCGGCCCCTAACTCCCTCCTGCTGCTGAGAATAGCCTTCCTTCTTGAACTGGAAGGCACTTCCCTGGCTTATGTTCTCATGGATCAAGCAAAACTGGGCAGCCCTTTGTGAACAGGCCTTACCCTAGGTCCTGGGAATGGGATCAGTTTAGGGTCAGTGTTAAGAGAATGAGAAAAAAACCTCCCACTTGAATACAAATATTTAAAATAAGTCGGTTCTGCATAAGGGCCTCTGTAACAGAACGTGTTCTGGACTGCAGATCCAGTGAGAATCAGATGGAAACCAGAATTTACTTTGCAGAAAAGTAGACATTTGCAATGCACTAATTTGCATATGCATTAAGTGGACTCAGTTCTGCTCATGGAATCTCCATAATGGAGCCAAAGAAAGCCAGAAAGCTCATTGTGGCGGCTCACACCTGTAACTCCAGTGCTTAGGAAGCAGAGGCAGATGGATCTCTTAAGTTCTGGGTCAGCCAAGGCTATGTAATGAGATCCAGTCTATTTTTTTTAAAGGAATTTATTTCTGCCTGACTCGTGATTGTTGTATGGATACCTGTGTCAAGAATTACAAGATTCAAGAACTACTTTAAGGACTACAATACTGCATGAAGAGATGAGGACAGAGCGGGTCTATAATGGCCGGCTCTGCCTTCACTGGCCTCTGTTCTTAGGGAATGCCGGTGTGCTCACATCTCAGCTTGCACAGCTGTAAGGACGCGTGGAAGTCACCTTCTGTCCCGTCACGTTATGCCTTTGATAACTGCGTTGAGCCTCCAGCCTTTTCTCTATCTTAGTCATTGCAGGGATGGAAAGTGGAGTCCCCGGAGTGTAGGTGCAGTTCCAGCACCCGCTGAAAGGTAATATGCAGTGCTAGGGCTTTGTGCAAATGGACAGTCCTTTGGCTCATTTCTGATGTATCTATCATCTTTTCTACCTCGGTCCAATACCACCTCCTCTGGACAAATAATAAAACAAGCAACAGCTATTAAATGAGTGCCACGGTCTGGTTTTTCTCCCCATAGGAAACTTTCCACAGCCTTGACCTTCTCAACTCTGGTGACACATGACCACACTGTCCCCTTATATTTTTAAAGTTTTATGTGTATGAGTGTTTTCCCTGAATGTACGTATGTGCAGCAAGAGTGTCTAATGCCCTCAGAGGTCAGACGTGGGCAATGGATCTCCTGTAACTGTTATTATGGGTGGTTGTGAACCACCTTGTGGGCTCTGGGAATGGAATCCATGTCCTCTGCCAGACCCTCACATTAGCCCCTTTAAATAAAAGGTACCAGTGTTCTCTCTGGGAAAGCTGTAAAATAGGGAGGTCTATCCAGAGGAGTCTATTACGGTTCCCCATTTACGATATGTCTCACTATTCTGGGTGCCTGCCCCTTTTGGTTCTCCTGGAGAACCCTTACATAGCACACTGTAGCCTGAAGGGTATTGCTTTCTCAATACCTTTGCGTTTTAAACCACAGTGGAAGTTAGAGAAATGATAAGCTTTCATGGGGAGCTTTAGGGACCAGTTTGGGACAAAGCCTCTCCCTTCCCAACACTCCTACAAGGAAACCACTGTTTCCTGTTTCCACCGAGGACAATAGGAGCTCTGCCCCAGACCTAGAGGTCCCTTCTGTCCGTTTTTTGGGTGATCACACTGAGTGAAGCTGGTTAAGACTGAGCTGGCAAAACTCTATCTTTCCTTGTGTGCTCTACCACACCGTGCTTCTCAAAGTGCAGTGTTTGAGTCCCATGAGCAGTTTTTTTAGTTTGCTCTCCAGAACTGAGAACCACTGACTGGAGACTCACAGTTCATCCAAGAAGCGATGCTTCACCCTACAAGTGGAACCTCACACTCAGGAGGCGCGGTGCACCACCTCCGTCCCATGGCTTGCCTCCACCTGCAGGACCCAGATCTTTTGTCCCTTTCCCCAGATGTTTTTTTCCCTTATAAATGCACTTTCCACTGTTTTTTTGGCCCGAGGCGGGGGTGGGGGGGGGTGGGGGTGGGGTGGGGGGAGCGTAATTGGCCCTGTGCTTCCTGAGCCTCAAACTGTCTCAATTCGGGGTAGGCGGGGCAGGGAGGCTGCTCTAAATTTCTATTCGCCATTCATCTCTCCAGATTTTTCTTCTTTTTTTTTTTTTAAAGCCGTGACAGAGTATTGCTGAGGGGGTGAAGTGAAGGTTGAAGGGGAGGCTGTGTCTCAGTCCCAACCAGCCCCCCAGTGGCCTCTCCAATCAAACCTCAGAAACAAGCCCCCCCCACTTGTCCAGCTCCCAGTGATGCTGAACCAGTGACCAGCTCCAGAGGGCGCTGCAGCGCTGGACAGAGTGGGTTGGTCCCGAGGACCTTGGACCCCATCCCCACCCCTGCACCCCGTCTCAGGGCCACTCTGCAAGTGCCCACCCTACCTTTGGGAGACCTGCATATGGTGATGACCTCCTCTACTTGACCTCTAGGCAAGTTCACAGAAACTAGACATTTCTGGGGAAGCTAAATGAAGCGTGAAGCCGGCACAGGTGGGGTTAGGACTGGGGGCTCTGGGGTTTCTTTGAGCGGGGGGGGCAGGGGACGATGCAGAGGCTGATGGCTGACCTGACCTACTCATCAGTTGAGACTAAGCCCCTAGGCCTGCAGACAGAAGGCGTAATTTACCTCATGAGTGTAGCCCAGGATTTTAGGGACTCCATGCTGTAGAGAGAAGCCTCCTTGGGACCCCTGCTTGAGGGCTGTGCCCCGGCCTCCTCTGAGGATCTCCCTCGTTGGTTGCCTCTAGGTGTCTCATTCTCACTTCCCCTCAACCACTTGAGAAACACTTTTAACAAATCCGGTCTTTTCCACAAGGGGAAAAAAACAGCCAAATTGGGGGCGGGGGGTGGGGGTGGGGGAGCCTGTGTCTGCAGCCAGCTTCAACCAATTATCAAAATTCTGACACGATGTCTACTGCATCCATGCGAGTTCACACCACCTCAGGTTCTCAGGTTTTAGTTTTCTTCTTTGGATCTTGGTATGCTGCCCCTGTATTAAGTCCTCTGACCGCCGGTTTCCGTATTTCTAGGTGCTTAGCTGTTAGCTTTAATGAATCAGCTCAACCAAGGTGGCTTGCCATGTTGGAGTTCCCCAGAGGGTGAGAGCAGGAGAAATCTGCTGATTTGAGACCGCGAACATTTAAATACTGTGTGGAAGTGGGTTCTGAACATGTGACCTTCACCCACACAGAAACTATAATATAAATAAGCAGACTGTAGAAAAACACAGTCTGGTATTGACGCAAGAAGCACCCAGAGACACCAAATAGACCAAACTAGAAAAGAAAGTACAGTTAAGACACTAAATGTACACAACCGGGAGAGGATATTGAAAACCTTAAAAGTCACATTAGGATAGCTCTTCTTGGTTGGCAACTTGACTGCATCTGGAAATAACTATAAAGCCCAAGTGGCCGAGTACATCGGTAACATTTTTTAATGAAATCATCTGAAGTAAGAAGATCCTCTTCTAGCCCAGATCTTTTGAGTAGGAAGATCTGCCTTTAATCTGGGCCACACCTTCTGTTGGCAGCCGAGTCTCAATAGAAACTTTGAAAGTCAGAACAGACTGAAGCAATGTACACTAAGTGCCAAAAAAATAAATAAACAAAAATGCCAACCCAGACGACTTTACCTAGCAAAGCTATTTGCCATAGTTGAAGCATAAAGAAAACGTTTTAGAAGACACACACACAGTTCTTCCAGTCCTGAAAAGAATGCTGGAAGTAATACTGCAGACTGAAGAATGAGCACAGCAAAGCCGCCACAGAAAGAAAGCAAACAAAGCTGTAATTACTCAAACACAAAATCAGACTATGAACACAAACAGGAAAAGAATGGTAGTGACCAACACACACCATTCTCAATAATAGCTTTGCATAATCCATTAATATGTGTCTTTCTTTTTGGAATTCAGACGATCTGAATTGAGAGTTGTCAATAAGCAGTGGCATTTGGGTTTATATCCCTCACATCTAATCATTAATGCCAGACTCTGGGACCTATCCTGAGAACACTAAAATGGATAAATCACAACCCTATACATTCTATGGGAACCTTTGGTTATTTTAATCAGTGCAAATGGAGTCTCCCATTTGTGACTGCAGGTGTTGATACCTGGTCTTTGTTGGGTTGAGAGCTCTGTTCCTTGGTTTCTGTCACCCTCTCTGGATCTGAGGAAATTGTGGTGACTAGGGGTTTCCTGGTAGGGAGTATTCTGAGTCCCTGCCAGGCGTGGTCCCTGGGGAATCCAGGTAGAATTGTGTTTCTAGATATTGGGAGCTGGCATAAAGGAATGGGCTTGTACTAGGAGACTGGGGGTCTGGAAGGGTCTATAGGAAGAAGGAAACTTGGGCCTGTCACAAGAGTTAGCAAAGGCCCCAAAGAGTGAAGCCAAGAAGTGATCTCATACAGTGCTGTGAGTGATCCTACACAGGGCTGGGGATGACACAGCTATCTTAATCATTTCTGCTCCAATCAGTAACCTCTCACCCATATTAGTGTAAGCCCAATAAAATCCGATGATTCACCAAGTTGGACCGTTGTTGTAGCCACCCTTTGATCTGTGCTCCTTATCTGGGGTAAATAGATATTTGTTCATGTCTCCCCAGGATAGTTTCACATAAATGTTCACTAAAACTTTACTCCCACCAATAATCTGACTAGCCTTGTAGTAAGCTAGGGAGGTAAGAGGAAAACTAAGAATGGAGGTTAGGAACACTTCATTTTCTCTGGTTAAAATAACCAAAGTTTCCTATGGAATGTATAGGATTGTGATTTATCCATTTTAGTGTCCTCATGATAGGTTCCAGAGTCTGGCATTAATGATTAGATGTGAGGGATATAATTAGCTATTTGGAGGAATTCCTTTGGCAGAGCACTTGGACAATCCAATGAACTGGGTAGCTTGAATTGAATTCATCATTTCCTGCATTTCCCTAAAACACTGTTACTCCAGAGTTTATCAATGAAAATAAAGACTGATCATTTTTTGTCAAGACAGTTTCAGGGTTTGGATTTCCTATTTGCTACTGCACAGAACTGCAGAGTGTGGGGGATTTCACATCAGGTCACATCCGCACAAGACATACTGCCAGTGCTTTTTCTGATTGGCTTCAGAGGGGTTTAAATGGTTATTCCTGTGCATGAAAGAAAGTGAACAGTAGCAAGCTTTACTACACATCACAAATACACATTGTTTGAAATGCATCTCTTGTGGAAGATAATGTTTCTCTTGGGGAAAACATGGTCAGGTATACATCTTGGAAAAGCTCCCAAGTCCACTATGGCCTCTTATTTTTTTTTTAAGATTTATTATGTGTACAGTGTTCTGCCTGCATGGATGCCTGCACACCAGAAGAGGGCACCAGATCTAATTATGGATGTTTTTGAGCCACCATGTGGTTGCTGGGAATTGAATTCAGGACCTCTGGAAGTGCAGCCAGTGCTCTTAACCTCTGGGCCATCTCTCCAGCTCCCTTGCTATGACCTCTTCTCAAGAATAAAAAAAAATCCCCAGAATCATCCATTCTCCCACTTATTTGGCTTTTCTTGGAAGCAGACAGTCTGTGTCCACCCTAATAACTTATCTAGGAAGTTAAGAGTCACAGCCTGTGGCATAAGAACAACTCCTGCTACCCTCACCCTTGCATCCAGAACTAAACAATTGCTCACTATGTGATACATTGTACCCAGTGTAGACTTGTTCTTGGAAAATGCACAAGTGAAATGTCCTTTCCCGGCTGCCTTCTTGCCTACATTTCTCATAAGCACACCAATATTAGTAGTTTCCCCTCTGAGAGTTAATGCTTTCCCAGCTGTCAATCCCTTTTGCTGAATTTTCTTAAAGCTAAGTCCACACTATGATGTTTAGTTCTGCTTTTACTGACATTGGGTGACAATCCCACTATTTTACAGAGAAACAGTCAAGACCACAGATGCTTAGGCAAACGGAATGGCTTAAGGTCACAAGAGCAGAACTGACTGGAACCCTGGTTTCCCTAAGTCCCCATCCAGTCCATCAGTGGCCCATCAGGAACTACTTATAGACACTGAACACTTGTCCCTGAACACCCACGCTGTGCCACTCCCGTGAAGATGCTTTCACCCACAACCTCATCTAACTTACTATTCCCATCCAAGATTTTATGTTTTTCAACCAAAATACTGTAATTCAGGATAAAAGCTACAAATTCACTGTAATGAAATTTTACCCCCAAATTAATTTTAAGGTCATGTCTGAATTAGTAGGACAATCAAAGGTTGTTCTTCTCTTGCCCTCCTCTCGACGCACTGAGGATTTGATAGCATCCCTGGTGGGCGTTCTTGTGTAACCTTGGTGGTTTCCCTCTTTCTGTTTGCTTTCTTTACGAAAGGTCCCGTGGGAATAGCAAAGTCTCAATTCTGCTCCCTTCCAAGCCCCCACTATCTGTCTCACCTCAACACCCACACTTTGCCCTTCCAGTGGCGAGCAAGAGGAAACACAGACACAGGGAGGTCTTGTAAATAGCTTCAATGAAAGAGAACTGCTCTCCTTGGAGCCTGTCTGGAAAGGAAACAGTGCCCAGACAAAGGGCTCTAGCGTTAGGGATTCCCTGTGCACCCAGGACCTTCACATTTGTTAGACTTGGTGCGTGCCTTTCCCTGTCCGCTGGAAGCGCTGTCAGCTTTGGTCACAGCTGGCTTCTGGGTGGTTCGTTTGACCAGCCTCTCGGGTTCCTGCCTCTTCTCGTCACTAGATTTCGAACTTGGCCTCCTCTCATCTTTAGATCGAGGCGTGGTGTCTTCCCTTGACGGCCGTACTTTGCTGTTATCCATTGCCCTAACCCTGGCTCCCGTACGTGCCTGTTCCCTGGCTCCCGTACGTGCCTGTTCCCTGGCCTTGGCACACTCCTGCTCCTTGCCTTTGACACATGCCTGTGCCCTCGTTCTGACACGATCCTGTTCCCTGGCCCTGGCACAAGCCTGTTCCTTGGCCCTGGTGCACACCTCGTCTGTGGCTCTAGACCTGGTCCTTGGTCTGGTGCTTGACCTGGCTTTTGACTCTGCCCTTGATCTGGTCCTCCTGGACTTTGCCTTCAAAGCCCTAGCCTTGCGTCTCCAGACTTCTCTGGCCTTCTTGGCTGCCTTGCGACGTGAACGGGGCCTGCTGGGTCTGGGGGATCGGAGCAGGGTCTTCTTTGAAGAATGGCGGCTCAGCGCCTGCCGGGACCGTCCCACCTTTCTCCTTGACTTTGGAACCTTACAGACCCTGAAGTAACCCGCGGCATCGCTGCCACTGACCCGCAAGAGTGTGCCTTTCTCGGACCTGGTGGATTCCCCAGCTTGACGGTTGATCTTTCGGCGCACTTCGTAGCCAGCGTTTCCCAGCTCCTTCTTGAGTACTGCTAGAGTCAGGCCCCGGTGGCCCGCGATGGCCCTGAGCAGCAGCTGGGACACTCTGAGCACCGAGCGCGGGCCCCGCCTGGCCTGTGACCTCAGAGCTCTCTCTGTTGGCTGCTGGATCTGGATCGTAACTTCTGTGCCTTGGGATTCCCCACTGGGCTGGGCCACCTCAGACATGGGCCCGCTTCCCCGTCCTGGGGCCACCTGCTCTGGTCTGGCCTCAGGCCTCACCAAGTGTGAGGCTCTGGGGTGCTCACGTCACAAAGGGGGGGGCCCCGCCCCGCCCCGCCCCGCCCCCCACGCTCGGGCCTGGTGGGAGGGCAGACGCAGCCCACCCTCACAGAGTCATCTCCTTTGACCTCTGTGCCACCCCGATTCTTCAACATCTGTGCTTCTCTCACCTCTGGGGGTTTGTTCTGAGCCCGTTCCTGCTAGAGTCCCATTACCTTTCTGGGGCTGGCACCCACGTAAGAAAGGAAGGGCTGCCCCCAAACCACACCAAGCAACAAAATGATGCCTGTAAAAAGTAAGGGAGGGGCTCCAAGAAACATGGACCCAGAACCTCCCCCCCCACACATCCACGTCTGCACTTAGGTCTGATGGTTCCGAGGGCAGTGGAAGGTGCGCCAGAGCAGGAAAATCAGGTGCTACTGTGGTCTCTCTGCTACTCTGATTCTCACGCTGGGAAGGTCAGAGGCCTCCTTCCAGTAGAGCATGGGCCAGAACTAGCCAGGTTTCAAATCCCCAGAAAATACTTACTTGGATTGCCTACACACTCTCTGCTTCTTTCCCTGCCTAGACAAACTTTGCTTTTCAAGTTCTTGCTAAAATTCCTTTTTTCCCCCCAAAAATGAAGTTCTTTGATCTTTCATTTCTTCATAACCACAACTGCAATTATTTCTGCAATGCCTTTTTGTGCTTAATTTTGCAGGTAATAAGTTTTAGGAAAGAAAAACCTTGGATTTTTGTCAGGAGACATAGGTACATATTAAACCCAGACCGCTACTCTAACATAGGTGATGTGGTCCAACACCTTAAGGTAAACCAGAGCCTGAAAACCAAACTGGAAGCTTCACTATGATGAAATGCCCCCTAAGATTTTCTGTTTATGTGTGCTACTCTACTGGCTGGTTTTATGTCAACTTGACACAAACTGGATTCATCAGAAAGGAAGGAGCCCCAGCTGAGGAAATGCCTCCCATGAGACCCAGCTGTAAGGCATTTTCTCAATTAGTGATTATCTTAGGGTTTATAGTGCTGTGAACTGATCATGACCATGGCAACTCTTATAAAGGAAAACATTTAATTGGGTGGCTTATGGTTTCAGAGGTTCAGTCCCTTATCATCATGGTGGGGCATGGTGGTGTGCAGGAAGACACGGTGCTGGAGAGGGGCTGAGAGTGAAGAAGGAGCTACATTTGATCCTGCAGGCAACAGGAAGTAAACTGAGACACTGGGCAGGACTTGAGCATATGAGACCTCAAAGCCCTACCTACTCCAACAAAGCCACACCTCCCAGTATGTCCCTCTGTTTCCCAACTCTGGTGGGCCACTACTGGCAGCCCAGGAGTGGGCCTCTGCTCCTCTGCCTACACAGTATTAACACCAGAGGAGGGTGTCAAAGCCATACCAACTGGCACATTTGGGCCCCTACCCGCCAAGCCTGGCCCCAGGCTTATATACTCCATTACGTGGATGATAGATAACTGGCTGCCCCCATGGAAGCGGAGGCTTTTGACTGCTTGTCCCATCTCCAACAAGCCTTAACTCAGGCGGGACTCAAGATTGCCCCTGAAAAGGTGCAGACCCACCCTCCCTACTCCTATCTCGGGTTTGAACTCTGGGGTGGGCAGGTTTTTACACCAAAAATTGAGTTTCACCTCTCTTAGAGCCCCTACATGACCTGTTAAATAGTGACTCACGCCCTCTTTTGCCCCACATTCTAACGGAACCCACCAGACAGGCCCTGGCTGCAATCCAGCGGGCTATTTCTTCTCAGCCTTCCTTTCAGCATGACCCTCGGCTTCCTCTCCATTTCATTGTTGGCAAAACCTCCCCCACCCCCTTAGGAGTCTTCTGGCAGAGGCAACAGGAACAGCAGCCTCATTCTGGCCACCCACTCCTTTGGGTCCCCCTTCGCTCCAAGCCCTCCAAAGTTCTTGCTACCTATTATTCCCTAATAGCAAGCCTGACTATAAAGGGCCGAAGGCTGGTCCGGCAGTATTTTGGTAAGGACCCCATACTCTCATTGTCCCCTATACAGCTGATCAGGTCACTTGGCTGTCCCAAACAGATGATGATTGGTCCATTACATGTGCTGCCTTCTCGGGGAAAAATTGCTAATCACTATCCAGATGACCCCCTCATTCAATTTGCCCGGCTACACGCCTTTATCTTCCCCAGGGCAACAGCCACCAGACCACTTAAAGGACTCGCCGTATTCACTGATGGCTCTCAAAATGGTACTGCTGGGTATGTTATTAACGACAAAGGTACCTCCGCAGCCACCTCCTACACCTCTGCTCAGTTGGTGGAATTGAACTCAGTCCTTCAAGTGTTTAATCTTTTACCATCCACCCCATTCAACTTATATGCAGATAGCGCATATGTGGCTCATTCCATTCCCCTCCTAGGAACAGTTCCCTATATTAGACCCAGCTCCATAGCCTTTCAGCTACTTTCCCAGATACAGACTCTCATTAGACAGAGGAACTCCCCATTCTATGTTGGGCACCTAGGAGCCCACACAGGACTTCCTGGGTCACTCCCAGGAAGTAACCCACTTAGTGGCTTTGATGCAGCCACTAAGCTCACCGCACCCTCCTGCCCTCTCAGCGTACACAAGCCCAGCAGGCTCATGTGCTCCATCATTTGAATGCTTCTACCCTGTGTCAGATGTTTAAGATAACCAGGGATCAAGCTAGAGAAATAGTTAAAGTATGTGATGCTTGCGCCAAGATGGCATCAGTCCCACATCTGGGGGTCAATCCACGAGGACTGGTCCCCCATGGCCGGTGGCAGATGGATATCACCCATTTCCCTGCCTTTGGTAAGCTCAAGTACATCCATGTCACTGTGGATACCTTTAGTGGGTTCCTTTGTACCTCACCCCTTACAGGAGAGGCTTCTCGGGATGTGATTACTCACGTTCTGCATTGCATCTCTGTCATGGGCATCCCCAAGACTATAAAAACAGACGATGGACCAGGATATACAAAGGTTTTGTAGCCTTCTTCAAGTAAAACATGTTACTGGCATTCCTTACAACCCTCAAGGGCAAGGAATCGTGGAATGGGCTCGTCAAACGCTCAAGTCCCTACTCCAAAGGCTCCAGACATCCACGGAGGCCCACATGGCCCCCACTCCCCGAAACAGGCTTAATCATGCCCTGTTTGTGCTCAACTTCCTTACCCTCGATCAAGGGGAAGGACAGCAGTGGATCACCATTGGCACACTCACCCTCCCCTTCCCCCCGCCCCCATCACAGGACTCTTATGTTCAAGTCTGTAGGAAAGACCCCCTAACCAATAATTGGAAGGGTCCAGACCCTGTTCTCATTTAGGGCAGAGGCTCCGCCTGCATCTATGACTCAGAAACCTCTGAACCCAGATGGCTTCCTGAACAACTTTTAAAAATTGTTAACCCACCCTTGTCCAGAGGGGAACACCAACCTCCCGCTGAGACACCACCTCCCCCCTTCTTGTCTTGCAGATGCTGCTAAAAATTCTGAGAACCTTGCTCTTCTGACACCAATCGCCAGCGGTCTGGGTCCTCACCGTAACAACCCACACCAACCCTCTAACCAGACATGGATGGTCCTCAATGCACGTGGTGATGTAGTCTGGAGCTGGTCCCACACCTCCTTCAGCAGACAACTCCTGATGGCCCGACCTGTATCCCGACCTCTGCAAGCTTGCCCTGGGTAGATGGGATATCGAGGCCTGGAGAAATCTTAACACGGCCCCAGAACTGTCCTCCCACCCCCACACACACCAAGATTAATAAGGACCCCTTGGGTCAGGGCAGGTGCTGTAATACCATATTCCACCAAAGGCTTAAGCAGCTCACATTTTACATATGCCCAGGGTTCCACAACACCCATAGAGGAGGCTGTGGGGACAGGGACAACTTCTTTTGTCAGACATGGGGATGTGAGACCACTGGCACTGGACATTGGAACCATCCTCCTCCTGGGATTTTATTGTGGTCAATGCTAATTATACTGCCCCTTCTGATTGCTTTGGATGGTGCCACCTGCCACGGATCTCCTTCACGGAACCTGGAAAAAAGATCTTAAACTGGGAGGCCGGATTTACCTGGGGTCTCAGGCTGTACAAAGGCGGACATGACCCAGGTGTCCTTTTCACTATCAAGCATATCAGGGAGCCGGTTAATTAGCAGCACTCCCAACCCGTTGGACCTAACCCCAGACTCGAAACATTGTGCTTAATCTCATAGATCAAATCTTCCTTACACTTAAAGAAACCTCCCCTGAACTTATAGAGGATTGCTGGCTATGCTATCACCCCCAGTCCCCCTTCTATGAGAGGATAGCCATTTTGGGGGTTGGCATTGCAGATGGCACAGACTCCACTCATGGAGTCTCTGTCACCCAGGTATCCAGTCTTGGGCTGTGCATCTCTACCTCTGCACCCCCTCCTCAACATAGACATCTTTGCAATACGACTGTTAAGCCTGATCCAACTCATGCCTACATCATTCCCTCCAATGACTCTTGGTGGGCGTGTACTCATGGTCTCACCCCCTGCCTGGCTACAGCCGCATTTGCAAATAATAATAGTGAATTTTGCATTCTGATCACACTTTTACCCTGCTTGCTCTATTACCCTCCCAATGAATTCCTTCCTTTATGGGAAGAGAGAGATGGCTCCTCACTTCACAGATTCTGTATGGAGTCAATTACTGCCCTCACCATCTCTCTCCTTCTCAGCCTCGGTGCTGCCGGAGCCAGGACAGGCATTACCTCCCTTGTCCTCTCAAACAATAGGTACTCTGAACTGCGCTCGACCATCGACGCAGACATCTTGCAGCTCCAAAAAGGAACAGATGACCTTGCAGATTCCATCGACTCTTGGGCTGAGGTTGTCCCACAAAACTGGAGAGGGTTAGACCTCCTGTTCCTGCAACAAGGAGGCCTCTGTGCTGCCCTTAGGGAAGAGTGTTGCTTTTATGTCAGTAAGAAAGGAAGAGTTAAGGACAGTATGAAAAAAGTCAGAGAGGACCTAGAAAAAAGAAAAAAGAGAGAGGAAGCAACAGGGGAGTTGGTATAACAATTGGTTTTCCACTTCTCCCTGCCTATCCTTATTGCCCAACATCTTGGGCCCTCTCTTAGGCGTTATATTGCTTATTTCTTTTGGCTCATGGGCCCTTAGGTGCCTGACTTGGACCTTATTAAACAGCAAGTAGATAATCTTCCTGCAAGGCCTATCCAGATCCATTATCAGAGGCTGGCCATGAAGGAGAGTGGTCTTTAACAGAAAGCTGATGAAAGTGATGTCAAGGAGGAAGGCGAACTTAGCCTGATGTTCCCAGTCTCCACATAGCAAAAAGGAGACAAACTCCCCCGGGGCACATAATCTGCTCATGGGCCCCATGTAGCCCCAGCCAGGGACCTTGGAAGGCTCCTTCACCCACAAAAATAACCACCCCCAATGATGGCTGACCAATGACGGGCTCCCTTCTGATGCTTTCACCACCTAAGTCAGGCAAAGCAATCCAAAATCGGGTAAGGTAAAAGCCTCTCAGATGGATCCTAAGACAGGCTCTGTCATCCTTGCGGTTTGGGGGTAACTTATACTCCGGCTGCACCTAATTTCTGTTTAGCCAGAAAAGGGGGATATGTCAGGGGCCTCCGGCCATCAACCAGATATGGCTGCCTCACGCACTCATAATTAAAGACGTGACTCAACCCTCATAGAGAGTACGTGACTCTGGACCACCCTGCTACCTCTGCTAAATTACAGAAACAGGTCTGCAGCTTAATTAGCAGTTAAAGATTAGCTCAACAGAAAGCCCCCAATTCCACCAGGAGTTAGGCAAGGACATAGGGAAGACTGAGACAGATAAAGTAAGGACCTATGGTCAAGTTACCTAGCAACACAGGAAGTTCTACCCCCAACCTTTTCCCCTGCAAATTAGGTTTCCAGGCAGCACAGAGGGTTTCCCATCCCATTGACCTCTGCTCCACCAGGCTCATTGCAGCTGCAGCATGCCCCCATTCCTTCCCCTCCTCCCTTCCCCTATATAAATCCCTTTGGGATGAAATAAAGTTGTCGCCTTGATCAGACTCCTGTCTTGGCGTCCATTCTTCGTGTCTTCTGTCCTCATTATTCCCCTAGCTACCCTCCAGCCCCCACGGTGAATGTCCTGCGGATCGGGGCATCCCACCAGCCAGCTCCCAAATAATGTGGTGATGTTTTATTTGTGCTTTAACAAATAAAGCTTGCCTGAAGATCAGATAAGCAGAGCAGCCAGTTGCTAGTTCTTATCCCCACTGAATCCTCAGACCAAAGGAGCAATCCTGTCCCTATGAATCCTCAGACTGAATACAATGAGCTCTTGTCTCCTCCCACCTTGTATTCCTCTCTCCATCCAGCCATATCACTCCTGTCTCTACCTCCCTAGTGCTGGGATTAAAGGTGTGTGATTCCCAAGTACTGGGACTAAAGGTGTGAACCACCAACCACCTAGCTCTGTTTCTCTTTTAGACTGGATCAATCTCGTGTAGCCCAGAGTGACCTTGAACTCACAGAGACCCACCTTCCTCTGCCTCCTGAGTGTTGGGATTAAAGATGTATGCCACCACTGCCTGGCCTCTATGGGTAACCAGTGGTTAGCTCTGCACTCTCATCTCCAGACAAGCTTTACTTGTTAAAGAACAAACAAAATGTCACCACAAAATAATGACATGGCTTGACCTATAGCCCAGGCTTGTTCCTAACTAGTTATTATATCTTAATTTAGCCCTTATTTTTAAAATCTATGTTCTATAATATGGCTTTTTACCTTGCTTTCATTCTGTACCTCCAACTTATTCTGTGTCTCCTAGTGTCTCCTCTGCATGTCTAGGTTTATCTCCAGTTCCTCTCTTTGTCCAGAAGTCCCACCTATTCTCCCTGTCTAGCTATTGACTTTTGCTTTTAATATTAAACCAATCAATCACAGTGACATATCTTCACACATGTAAAAATATCTCATAACACTTGATATTTGTCTTTTTGAGACAGATACAATTTTCTCATTATGATCTTTTCCAGTTACATACAGTTTCCTGCAAATAAAATAGGCTTGTCTTCTCTGTGGTTGAAAACATTTCATTGTGTATAAATACCACATTTTTCTTAACCATTTTGATGGACATTTAGTTTGGTTCCAGATCTTAGCTATTGTGAATTTTCACCAATGTATATCTTTGTATAGTTGATTCATGTAGCAGTTTATTTTAATTTTTGACAGATCTCAGAACTAATTTCCACAGCATCTGTCAGCAGCATATGTAGGTTTTTGGGTTTGTCATTTTGTCCATATCTTTGCCAGCATTTCTAATTATGTGTTTCTTTAATGACTGCTATTCTGACTGGAGTGAAGCAGAATCCCCATGTAGTTTTAATTTACATTTCTTTCATGGCTAGTGTGGTAGCCTGGCTTTTGAGAGGTAATGTTTTCATCTCTAAGGGCTCTGTGTTTATCTATTTGCTGATCTATTCAGCTCCATATGTGGTGATAGGCACTGTTCTGACTGAGAATAAGGCATTTGACAAGTCAGACATGTTTCCTGCTCTGAACTGACAAATCTCCAAGTGGGTTTCAGCATTTATCATAATCATCACACCAACAATGTTTCCTAGGTATTATTAAAACTCTCTTCTAGATAAGGAGAACTGAGGATCTGAAATATAGAGTAACTGTCTAAAAATCCCAAGACCAAGATTGACATTAGCAAGTTGGAAGAGTAGATGGCTTCTGATGTCCTTCCCCACACACATGTAGTGAACACCAACACACAGGAACATTCTCCCAAGAGAAAGACCAAGTCCAGCTAAAAACTTACACATTGGATGAGCGGGGAAAGATCTAAATCATACCAAGTAGAAAAATAACAAATATACTCTCTTGCTATCTCCCAAGCACAGCATCTTATAGTTGAAAACAAAATCACCAAATCCAGTCTCTTTCTGAGATACCAGGAGCTGGTATCCCACATGATGTTCAACCATTTATGAGGGAGCCAACTTTGCTCTGTGTGTGTGTGTGTGTGTGTGTGTGTGTGTGTGTGTGTGTGTGTGTGTGTGAAGGCAGGTGGATTTCTGTGTGTTTGAGGACAGTTTGGTTTACATAACAAGTTCCAGGACAGTCAGGGTTACACAGTGCGACCCTACCTCAAAACAACAAAACAAAATAAAATGTAATAAAAATGTTCTTACTTGGTTTTGAAAGAATTCCATATTTACTAAGAAGAGAATGGAAATACTGAAATGTCAAGGAAGAGTTCCCTGAACTTGCATTATATAACACACCATTCAGATTTAGGAGTGTTTTATAAATACTTTTCCTTCAAGTGTTCTAAACGGAGCAAAAAACACTCAATAAAACAAGCAAAATGCTTGGAATAACAATTGTAAATGCCATTTTCCTTATAGCATAAGTGGTTTCTAATGTACTCTTACATAGACACATAATTACTGTTAAACAGTTTTACTAGTAATAACAAAGTTAAGTAAGCTTAGACTTAAGTCACTGCCCCATATTCTAGGATTTAGCTATTGTCTTTGATAGTTTTTGGGCTTTTGGTTTTTACTACTGAAAGCATACTGCAGTGATTATCCTTCATCGCTCTTTGCCTACACATGTAGATCTCTTGGAACAAGTTTAGAAATCTGTGGCTGAAGAGTCTAGAAAAGTCAAGTTGCCTCCAAAAGGCCAAGATAATTGAAACTTCATCAGGCAGAGTTTTACTGCTTTAGTGTCCTCAATACCAGGGTTGAGCCAAGCAGGCATTGCTGCCACCCCTTAACCTCAGGACTATCAGCTGAACGAACCTCTTCTTTAGAGTCACCAGGCTTTATTGAATATTCGTTCTGTTATAGTGACATAAATCGGACCATACAATTGTTATTCACACCCTTCTCTGATTCTTTACCAAGCCATTTTTTCATAGGAACTCCTCACATTTGATGGGAAAGAAAAATGGTTATTTGTTGGCGTGTGCTTGTGACTAGTGCTTAGATATACAATTGCTCCATGGCTTATATAGCCAGTTTTGGAAAACACTAACTTTAGGCAAGATTGATGTGTTGTTGTAATGGAACAATACAAAAACATGAGCACTGTATGCACAGTAGAAATTAGGAGACATCAGTGTATCATTTCATGAGTTTCCATAAAAAGATTCCCTCATCCCCTGTAAGGTAACAGAGCTTAAAGAGACGGAGAATAATGTGAACAGATTTTACAGGGAATATACTCTATAGACAAGATCCATTAAATGCCCAGCAGGGGAGTTGCAAAATTATTAGCCCTATCACTCAATTAGGTATAATCAAGCTCCTGTGAAAATATTGAGGTAGACTTTATGTATGTGACTTTTGGAGATGCTATTGTGTAGAAGCTACCAGACTGATATTCATGGCAGCATGTGAGGTCCTTTGATACAAGAGAATGGTACTGGTGCTATCAGCAAAATGCTAAATCTCTCAGGCACTGGCAGAGTGTGACACTGTTGCACCCTGTGTTCTCAGTTTCTGAAGAAGGTGCTGGTGGATGGCAGCTGGCCACACCCTCACGTGTATCAGGTCTTTCTTTGTACTGCCAGCTCCTGAATAATGACATGGAGACTTTTCATTACTTCCGAAATCTTGGCCTTAGTTTAGGCTTGTTCCCAACTAGCTCTTAAAACTTAAATTAGCTCGTTTCTATTAATCTATGTTCTGTCACTTGGCTCATTACCTCAACACTGTAAGTCTGACTTTCACCTGAGATTCCTTCCTATAGTTCCTATCTCTGCCCAGAAATTCCACCTATCCTCTTCTGCCTAGCTATTGGCTGTTCATCTCTTTATTAGATCAATCAGAAGGTGCCTTAGGCAGGCAAGGAAGGACAGAGATGTACCTTCACACAGTGTGATCACCTATCCCACAGCACTCACTTCTCAAGCGATGGTCAAATCTGAGTTCTGAAGTTTAGTAGTTGAGGACAGTAACTCATGTATGGGTGTTCTGATAACATTTGATGTCCTATCACTTAGAGGATGGGAAAAATCATTCTTAGTTCTAGAATGTGGGATCTGATATCATGTTTTTGAAGGGAAAGAGAACACCCCCACACACACACAAACCATCATGTTAACAGACTAAATGTTTGGATCATTTCAAAACTATATTACAGAAACTCTGTGAGCATGTCTAAGCATAGGCAGGCAGGAACACTGGAAATTTCACAAAAATGACCAAATGCCCCTCTCTCCAGGCTAATGTGAGGGTTTGTTGCTGTTTTGCCTATTAGTTTTTTGCTCCGTGGTATTCCCAATCTCATAGATGACAGTTCAGATATCTAATCATAGACTGTCCTGCTTATTGCATTCCCACTTAGCACGAGCCCTATGTCCAAAACACTCTTTTCCCATCTTCTCACTGAGACACCTTCAGAGATTCCCCACAGTCTTCTCCCTCCATCCCTCCCTCCGTCCCTCCCTCCCTCCATCCCTCCCTCCATCCCTCCCTCCCTCTGCAATAAGAAGTAGGTATACCTTTGCTCTGGTATTGGAGGCATCTACACATTAGTCCTTTACTGTCAGGCATGAGAGGGATGTTTTCTCCTTGTTCTTGTGATCACCGGATCCTGTTTATGGTATTTTCTGTCATTGGTATGTTTCTTATTATACATTGTTGTTTTTTAAAAAATCTTCTCTTATGGTGGCTACTTAGCTTTACAATTTGTTTCTCTACCTTAGGGCATTTGTAAATCATTCCACGTTTTAATGTTTTAAAGTTCATCTCTGTAGCCCATCTGAATTTTAATTTTGCAGACAGATAATGGGTATTAAAGGAAAAGAGTTGGTGTTGCAAATCTAAACTACATCAGGAATTGTGTATAATTACTACTTAAATTATTTTACACTTACTTATTTGTGTGTTTTGTGTGTGGTGTTGGTGTGTGCAGTGTTGTATGGGTGTGGAGGTCAAAGGATAACTCTTCTTCCATGTGGGTCTTGGGGATCAAACTCAGATGGTCAAGTTCGACAGCAGGCTCCTTTACTAGCTGAGTGATCTTGGCAGCCCACAACTGCTATTTAGGGCTTGTCATGACCCCCTTACTCACCTCTGCAGCATGACTCACATTGTGTACACAGAGCACACATGGCAATAACCATCACTCTTTAGAACAATTTTCTTGAGAACCATCCTAGCATCCGCTGCTGCTGGAGAACCAATCCTGTGGTCATTGGCAAGGCAATAGATAGCTCTGGAGTTATATAGTTACACAGCTGTGTAACTGGGGCTGGAGTGGCTGGCTTGTCTAGTTTTGGAACATTACCTACTGGCATTGGCCCTTCACTCACTTGTTTAACAAGACCCAACAGCTTCTAACCCTTTGGGTCTGTCACTTTAGAGAGTTGCTGTAGGCATCTCCATAATGAATCTACTGAGACTCATTTAGCATCAAAGCAAAACTCAGGCTGCTCTTAATTGAGCCTAAGGAAATCTGCCCATGGAGATTTCCACATTTGCAACTTCTGGGAATGTCTGGGTAGCAACTGCTAATGAGGCCCTGAGAGCCTCTCCTTAAACCGCTTTCTTTCCCTCCCCAGTAGACCTATGTTATCCTCAGAGAAGTGGGGAGGAAAAGGAGCCCTGACTGGGCAGAGAGTAGCTGGGACTCAAGGGCCTCCTCAGACGACTACCTCAAGCACTGCTACCTGGCTTCCCCCGGGAGAAAAGTTCGGAAATACAAAGTCATTTCTGTGGACCTAACTAGCAGGTACCTGTGTGATTAAAGCTCTTATTTGAGATGGTTAAATATGGGAAAAGATTGAGTCATCTGTCTACCTTAGAAAGTAAGGCATATTGTTCATCTGGGCAAAGAATCTTTGCAGTGAGACTGGAAAACTGCAAAGCAGGTTGGGACTCTCTCCAAAAGGCTGACTAGCAGAGAAAGTATCCAGGGATCCAATTCATGAAGATCCCTCACCTGTACCCTTCACCTGCAAAGTCTTCACATCATCCCCTCATTCAAAACATCTCTGTTCTGTTGTGTACCAAGAGCATCGTGCTGGTGTCTATTGTGGGAAAGAGATGAATAACGATGGCCTTTGCCTTCAGATAGATAAAGCTCTAACAGGGTCAAATATTCATTGAAGACATCATAAGAAGACGAAAGGTATGTTAAGCCCAAGAAGGGAACACAGACAAGCAGAAATGGGAAGATGATCAGCAGTTGGGGACTATGCTCAATTTCCAATTTCTCTCCTGCCCAGGTCCACTGTCCTGGATCAGAATTGTTACCTTATTTAACCATTCAATCAATATGCCCCCACCCCCAAACCTACAAATTGCCAGGGCTAAGGCCAAGTGAGGATGTTTGAGAGCGACCAACCCAGAAAGGGCCCTTGCCTTTATGTAGCTTATACTCTAGTAAGGGAATAAGTAAACATATAATTCAGAGTGATGATAGACTAAAGTGAGTTAAGTAGAGGATGGCAGTGAACCAGATTGCAAATAAGAATTAGAGAAGGCCTGTTTTATAATGGGCTGGGAATTGCAGCTCATTGGAAAAGCATGTGCGTAGACCCCAGGTTCAGTATTTACCACCAAGGCAGGAGAGATGACTCAGCAGTTAACAGTGCTTGCTGCTTGTATTCAATACTTAAATGTAAGACCACAGTAATCAAGACTTTGAGATATTTTTAAACACATACACAAATAAAAATAAAGTTCTTAAAACTTTGGAACGTTCAGTTCTACCTGAGATGTCTTCATTGAACCTTTCCTCTCAAGACTCGGGAGCCTATGTAGAAGAGGAGGTAGAAAGATGATGAAATGACTTCTAGAAAACAGTGTCTTCCAGGCACAGCAAGACTGACGCACACATGAACTCACAGAGACAATGGCAGCACACATAGGATCTCACAGGCTCAAGCCAGACTGAGTCCCAGCACTGAGAGAAGGAAGTAGACACAGGGGCCCACCCCTAGCCAAGAAGTTATCTGCAGTTGACAGCCATCGGCAAAGGGGAAATTTGTTTTCTCCAGTGGAGTGTCACTGGGTATGCCAATCACACTCCAGGACAGGCCCCATATCTAGGAATAGTTGGAGAACACAAAATTAACTCCCTGTTTTTTTTTCTTTTGGGGGGGAGTGGGCCTTTTTGTTTAGTTTAGTTTTGTTTTGGTCTTTTTTATCTTATATAGAACGAACAGAAAATTAGGTTGGTAGAGAGGTGGAGAAGAGCTGGGGGAGGAGGAAAATGTTCAAAATATATTGTCTAACATAATTAAAACTATAAAAGAAGGGTATGAAGTTAGGAAGAAGATATGATGGGGAGTCCTGGAAAGAGTAGGGGTGGGAAGTAAGGGGTAAATATGATGGAATTTTCAAAGAATGAATAAGAGTAAAAATAAAAGAAAAATTTTAGGGTGGATAGCAATTAAGAAATACACCTGGCACTGGCCACTGTACTCTCCACACATGCATGCAGACATGTGCATGCATACCTGTATACACACATACACACAGACAGAAAGAAACCCAGCTTGAATCAGAACTTCTAAAACTTTAGAAAAATAGAGGAAAATGAAGTCAATTAACCCAAACAAAGGAATATAACAAAAAAGACAAATGTGATCTTAAATATAAAGATAAAATTACAAGTTGCCTCGGGTTTAATGGAGCTAAAAAATGCAATGGGAATAAGAAAGCAGCCAACAAAACAGAAATAAAGCAAAAAACCACTGTAAACATAAGGGGTTAATTAACTGGGGGGGAAGATGGAAGAACTCAACACACAGGTAGTTAAGAGTCTCAGAAGATAATGTACAAATGGCCAATAAACATGAAAAACGGTCAACATCTATAGCCATCAGGGAAATAGAAATTAAACAACACTGAGGTCCTAAATCAACCCAGTAAGAATGGCTGCAAATAAGAAAAAAATAATAGTCAAATGCCAGGAGGACGTGGGGAAAGAGAACACTCATATGCTGGGAATGAAAATGTGTGGTGACATCTTGATTGTACAAATAAAGCCTGTCTGAAGGTCAGAGAATGGAGCTTGCCACTAACTAACCATAGAAGTCTGGAGGTCTGTACAGACAGACAGGAAGTGAGGTAGCTGGGTGGTAACAGGATATAAGTAGGGAGAAACAGAAACTCATTTTCTTGTCTGCTGAAACACTAAGGAGGTAAGGTGTGGCCATAGCTTGCTCCTTCTCTCTGATCTCTCAACTTTTTCCTCTATATCTGACTCTGGATTTTTATTACTTAGACCAATTAAGGACTCCATTTATATTTTGACACCCAACATGGGGCAAGAATTTCCATGTAAAACCTGACAAAAGCTTTAAAAATGCTCTAAATACACAGAAACTTCCATCTACAATAATGATCAGTCCTGCCACTGACTGGGAGTGCAGTGTGAAGGTTCCTCAACATGCAAAAAGTAGAACTCCCATAAGATCCATTTGTACCACTCCTGAGTGTGTGTACCTGAAGGACTAAAGCAACATACCATAGAGATGCTTAGACGTGTACTCAAATTATCCAAGTGTGGAATCAGTCCAAATGCCCATTGACAAATAAAAAAATGTAATATATGCACACAATAGAGATTTTAAAAGTCACAAAGGAGGAAACTAGTGGATCCAGGGAGACCAGGGGACCAGCTGTTTTGAGACCAGGAAACCAGAGGATCCAGGGAGACCAGGGGACCAGCTGTTCCAGCCGGACCAGGTACAACAGGCCCGGCATAGGGGCCTGTGTTCCAGTGCCTGGGGATTGCCTGAGAACTGCACAGAGCTTCCAATCCTGGCAGGATCCAAACACCCCAGACTCCAGGACTTCTTTCCCACCAACGAGACCAGAAAACTAGCAGATCCAGGGAGACCAGGGGACCAGCAGTTCTGGCAGGACCAGGTAAAACAGACCCTGCATCTGGGCCTGTGTTCCAGTGCATGGGGATCGCCTGGGAACTGCACAGAGCTTCGAATCCTGGCAGGATCCAAACACCCCAGACTCCAGGTCTTCTCTCCCACCAACGAAACGAGGAAACCAGCGGATCCAGCAAAAGGTCCAGGGGACCAGGTAGGAGGCTAAGCACCCCAGATTCCTGGTCTTCTTCTCCACCCAGGGGACCAGAAGGAGGACAAGAACTAGAAGAACTACCAGATTATTGGACTTGCTAGCACCCACCAAAAGGGAACTCTGGTCCCCTAACCACCAGACCAGTAAGGGGCTCTTTCTGCACCCACTAGAAGAAGAGATGGGAAAGAGACAATACAAAAACACACTCAGCAACAGAAAAACAAATATAACATTGCCAGATTCTAGAGACTCCACACCAGCAAGACTCCAACATTCCAATGCAAATGAAGCAGAAGGGAATGACCTTAAAACCACTTTCATGAAAATGATAGAGGCCCTGAAAGAGGATATAGGAAAATCCCTCAAAGAAATGGAAGAAAAAACAAACCAAAAAATGCAAGAAATGGAAGAAAAAACAAACAGAAAAATGTAAGAAATGGAAGAAACAAAGCAAAAAAAGCAGGAAATGGAAGAAAAAACAAAGCAAAAAATGAAAGAAATGGAAGAAGAAACAAACCAAAAAAGGCAGGAAATGGAAGAAAAAACAAACCAAAGAAGACAAGAACTGGAAGAAAAAGCAAACCAAAAACTGCAAGAAATGGAAGAAAAAGCAAACCAAAAAATGAAGGAAATAGAAGAAATAACAAACCAAAAAATTCATAAAAAGCAACAATGGACAAAAAGATAAAAAGAAAATTGCAAGAAACAATGCAAACAGTGCAAGGCTTGAAAACTGAAATAGAGACAATAAGGAAAACACAGTCTGAAGAAAGGCAGAAAATAGAAAAGCTAGGCAAACGGTCAGGTACTACGGATACAAGCATTACCAACAGAATACAAGAGATGGAAGAGAGAATCTCAGGTGTTGAAGATACACTAGGAGAAATGGATTCATCAACCAAAGAAAATCTTAAGTCCAACAAATCCTTAACACAAAACATCCAGGAAATATGGGACACCCTGAAAAGACCAAACATAAGAATAATAGGTATAGAAGAAGGAGAAGAAAACCACCTCAAAGGGGCAGAAAATATATTAAAATCATAGAAGAAAACTTTCCCAACCTTAAGAAAGACATGCCAATGAAGGTACAAGAAGCTTACAGAATACCAAATAGAGTGGATCACAAAAAAGTCCCCTCGCCACATAATAATCAAGACCCCAAATATACAGAATAAAGAAAGAATTTTAAGAGTAGCTAAGGAAAAAGGCCAAGTAACATATAAAGGCAGACCTATCAGAATTACACGTGACTTCTCCATGGAAACTCTGAAAGCCAGAAGGTCCTGGATAGATATTCTACCAACACTAAGAGACCATGGATGCCAGCCCAGACTACTATACCCGGCAAAGCTCTCAATCACTATAGATGGAGAAAACAAGATATTCCATGACAAAACTAGATTCAAGCAATACGTATCCACTAACACAGCCCTACAGAAAGTTTTGGAAGGAAAAATCCAACCCAAGGAAATTAACTACAACCAGAAAAACATAGGCATTAGAGAATCCCTCTCTACCAACAGCCAAAAGAACAAAGGGGTGAAATTCCACACATAATTCCACCAACAACAACCATTCCAAATCAAAGAAGAATGAGCAATCAATGGTCATTAATATCCCTCAACATTAATGGCCTTAACTCACCCATAAAAAAACACAGGCTAGCAGAATGGATTCAAA